TTAAAAGTAAATTTTTTTTGAACTTCTGAAACTTTCGACAATTTGTAAACTTTTAACAATTTATTCTCTTCGATTCATTTGTTAATTTATTTGCTTTAAAATTGAAAAAATAAAACTACAAATATTATTTTCTAGATTCAAAAATGTGCTTTTTTTTCCCGGAAAATATCACAATTATTCGTCGGAAAATTCGAGAAAAAAAAGTTTTATTCCAGTAACTTATTATTTGATGCAATTAAATTAGATTAAATCAGATCAAAATTTATCACTCAAACAATATTCCTTACTGTTTTTTTTTCCTCATAAAATTAAATAAAAATTAGTTAAGGAAAAAAGCAATGGTATTAATTTTTAAGTTAAATCTAAATAAAGCGAATTTTAATTAACCTAGTACCCTAATTAACCTCATAATATAATATGGTTGTATAAAATTAGGAATTGATAACAAGATTATCATGATAGTTCCATATTAAAACTAAAACCCTTCATAATTACTATTATTATTATTCTTCAGCTATCAATTGTTTTTTTCCTACCTTTCCCTTCTTTTTTCTTTTTTTTTTTTATTTAGCATAAATTACTTGTATTCTGTAGATTAAAAACAAACAAAACTATCATCTGATAAATAAACAAACAAGCTTAATTTACTTTTTAAATAAAATACATTTAATTTTATCCTAACTTCTTTAGTTCATTGAAATATTTCATTAATTTTAATAGTAATTTGAAAAGGAAAAAAAAAGAGAGAAAAATTAAAAATTCTTTATTTCAGACCAATTTCAGCTGTTATTTTTATTAAATTATTAAAAAGTAAGCAACCTTGAAATGCTCAAATCTGCAAAAATATATTAGTAAAATTTCACAAAGACAATAAGTAAAAAGTGAAATATCATATCATAAATTTTACTATTCCTTCTTCTATCATTTATTAAGCCAAATTTAATTCATTAAATACTTTTTACACCTAAAAAAAAAATTAATGAAAACTGTTCCTGTTCTTGAATTCATTAATCTTACATAGTGAATTTAAATCAAAAAAAAAAAAAATAAAATTTTGAAAGGAATATAATGAATATGAAACTTCCAAGGTATACTTTGAAAGTATAGCTCAACCTATTTTATATCATTTATACTAAAATTATCACCGATATATTTGGAATTTCCATTGATCGATCATTTTTTGTACCATTTGTCCCATCTAGGAGTATCATTGGTATAATTGAAAAAAAAAAATTCAGATTGCTTGATATATATTTTTACCATTCATCCAAAGATTTGTAGTTAATGTAATTTTCAAGTATACATTTGAAAAGATTTCGACTAATTGATGATAATCCTCAAGGGTTTTCCTACTAATTGTTTACTATGAATAAACATTTGTTTGTGTTTAATGTCAAAATTTACCGTAATCTTTATGTTAATAGCAAAATTCATTTCAACTATCAAGTTTTCGTTAGAAAAGTGATCGCAAAATGATTCAAATATCGACTCAATCAATATCATAATGATCACATATTTTGTTAAATAAAAAAATAGACCAAAGAACTAGCATATAAATTAATAAACATAGCTTCTAGAAACAATAATCTTTGAAATAATTTTTTCGTTTTTGGATAATTATTTTCACTCTTTTATTGTAACATTGAAACAAACCAATGTTTACCGTATTTTTTATGAAGTCAAAGATTTCATTTATCTGACCAGATTTTCATTCTTGATTAAAACAATGAAAATTAAAATTATTCCTTATTTATGTATACTGTATGATCAGCAATCAACACGAAATGAATTGTCTCATCATTGTTACTCTCTTTAAAAGGCTCCTATAACATATGTAAATGATATCAAAATTATTACAACCATGATAATTCACTATTATTATCGTTATAATAGAGTAATAAAACCATGATAAATATAAATATAATAAAAATATACAAAATGATAATATGAACACACTTATATATCAAAAAAAAAAAAAAAAACCATACAATGACAGAAAAATTTTGAGCATTCGTTCCATGGTTTTCACTGTGTCACCATTATTATTACTAGTACTTTTTTTTTAAAATAATAAGCGTCACCTAACAAATGACAATCTAAATATTAAACAGATGATTAGTTGCAGAAGAAACACCAAATTATCCCTTAAATAATAAATACTAAAATTATCGACCTGATGAGAAGATATTCTGCTCACTAGATAAAGAAAGGAAAGAAGGAATGATGTGGTCGTAGGCCCGACAAACTTACAAATGATAACATTCTATCGGTCACTACTCATTATCATTTTTTTTTTGCGACCTATCATTTCAAATTATGACAAACTGTAATCACTTACCATTAGCTCATCGAAATCAAAAGCTGACGCAATTGTAACAATTAGAATGAGAAGTGAGAAAATACGAGGAGTACTTTTGCTGATATTGCTTACCATAATCATGATCGACATTGTTATTCTAAAAATGATATTGGAAATGTAAGAATAGAAACTGCAACCGGAAGATTGGTTGGTACGCCCCTCGTAATTGTTTACAAATATTATTCAGCTCCGCCTTTGGAAACATATGGAATCCGATGATAACAATTATGATCTTGTACCTAATCCTTAATTAGATAAAATGCTGCGACTATTTGAAAAGTTCAAATAGAAGCGAATAACCGCTAATCTTTTGATGAAAGCTATGCTTACAAGGTTGCCCTTGGATCACATATAATACGATCTAAAACTATAATAACAAAAGACTTAGATAATATCATCTGCTTTCTTTCCAGAACAAAAATTTTTAGTTCAAGAGATTTCTTGAATACAGTTAAGAAAAATAAAAAACAAACAATACAAATCACTACCAAATTATAAACATAAACCATTTCCAGACAACAATCACAGCAATAATAAAGTAACTACTTAACCTACTTGGCAATTCATCATGCTCGTACAAAAAAAAAAAAAAAAAAACAGTCGAAAAACCTAAAAAAAAAGTTCGAAGTTCACCGACTAAAAAGTTAATCCGATAATGTACTATCAGAATTCAAAGACCAACATAATTATGACAACGATGTATTTATGAAGTCTGTAAGCACTGATCACGAGGAGAATCGATACTGTATAACATCTACAAAATTATTATACGGCAGAAGTAATTGTTTTATATAAGTAACATATGATTAATCAGTGGGACAGCTCTGATAAATAATCGAAGGGTAAAAATAAATTTAAAGCATTCCTTTGCTATTTTCAAATTAATGAAGAAATAGCTGATAATTCACATGAATCAAATCAAAATACTGGCACCAGATTATAGATTATTAACAACTATCTAAGCACATGGAAAATCCAAAAAAGCGACCAGTGATGCAGAAAAGAAAGATGAGACAAGAAATTTCCAGCTTCACAATCATAAAGGTCTTCGAGAGCCTGATAAACGTAATTTTTCAATTCTATTTTGCAAATGACGATTTGTCTCCTTGGCCTCGTCCAGAGCATTATCCTTATCACGAAGCTGAAATAAACCTCGAGAATGTAATCAGCCATGCACAGACCATATATCCATTATTAAATTAACTGAAATCTGTCCAAATTAATCAGCTGACATTTTTCCTTTGAATCCAATAAGGATAAAGTGAGGGGAAATAATCATCATCCAGATAAAGGGAGAAAGAAAAACTTGGAGTCAGGACCTTTTACAACTTGATGCCGTAGTACCCCATTATTTGCTGCACTGATTGTACGACTCAAAATTAAAAAATTAAAAATTTTTTAATCTCTAGTTAAAAATTTGAAAAACTGGAGCCACGAAAAAAGAGGCATATCTCTCCTCTGTCTTCGTAGAAGTTACATGAATCATTTTGCAAAAAGAAGAGCTGAAAACTTTAACCCAGATAACAAAAATTGGAGAGTCATGCTTATATGCTCCTTTTCACTGTAATAAATGTTACTGATATTTTATGCACTGAACAAGGACAAGGAATTGGATAGTACTATGTCACTAGTAGTAAGTCATGGGTTGTGATTATATAGTTGTGTTTCATATCTTTTAATCCATTGTATGGGATGACGGTTCGTTCTGTCATGGCAATCATTACTCAGGAGTAATTCCATAAAGCTCCTTAACTTATCCGGAAAAATTCTATTTAAATTTCCACCACTGTATTTCCTTTATAATTATCTACTCTTAATTGCCTATTTGCATATTGTCTGATTCCTGTTTATCTTCAAAACACTGTCACTTATAACATCTACCAATTTGAAATAATTCTCGAATCGGCAAATATTTACTTCGTTTTATCAAAAACTACGAGGAAAATTTTCATTTTTTAACAGTCAAATTATCGCATCAGGTGCAACATCTAGTTTTTGACCCACTAGAGAAACATAACAATTGTATAGTTTAACAATTAGATTTAAGGAGCAATACAGAGAACAAGGGAAATGGAAATATCAATATTTCGAGACATCAATAACAACTTCGTACCTTTCCATACTAAGAAAACAGCCTACCTCTTTTTTAAGCTGTCGATTCTGAGATTTTAATTCGACAAGCTCTTTTTCCGCTTGTTCAGCAGCTGCTTTATACCTTTTCATTTGCCCATCTACACGTATCAGCTGTAAAAAAAATCTCAAATCATGTACTATTTTAAGTGATTTTAATCAATCTATAGAAAAAGAAGAAAAAAAACAGTTTAATTTGACTAAACCTTTTACAAATACAAGTTCTTTTCAAGTCAGTGTATAATACAATGATTTCCTACGAGTTATTGTACACTGAGTTTGAGGATTTGAAAACTTATCTATATCCGCCATTACAAAGACGATCCAATAAAAAATAACTATTCAAAATAAAATTGAAAAAAAATCCATCTTTAATTCAAAAGACAGTAAGAACCGACATTGCCCTGATAATTCGTATTTTCACGTTCCGCTTCTTGTAGTTTAAATTTGATTTCCGCTAGTTGTTTGGCTGCATCTCCTGAAGTGATTACAAAATCAGTGACTCAAGCGAAAAAGATGATATCAATAATTCGATTCTGTTGTCATATTTTTGTCGCAAGATACTTCATTCATCCCTTACTTTCATCCCTTACATTTCTAGTATTCCAGAATGCATATATGCTACAGTTAAAATGAGAAAGAGCAATAGCAAAAAACGTATAATAACAGTCCGTTACCACCTCTGATGGAGCTCATTATGCAAATTTGCTTATTATCCATATCAGATGTATGGTAAAGACTAATAACTGAAACTATGCTACTCCACGAGTAATTTCAATAGAAACAAAAAAAAATAAATGAAAACGAGAAAAAAGACTGATGTTCACTCTGTAATTCATCACTGAGTACACCATTCTGTGCACTGCTCATAAGATCAGCACGAGCTGTTCTTCTAATATATAATGACTGTTCCGCTTCTTCTAACTGTTGACGCATTTTTTTGTTCTGGAAAAATATTCAGATGAAAAATAGTAACATACTGTGCCCGAAATATCTCAAAAAACCAGCAGATAATCGTTGCATTTTTAAATAGTAAACCTTATTCTAGTAATAATGCACAAAAATTTGTTTCGAAAACTCACCACATCAACTAATCTTTTAACTTTTTCGTCTATTGCGGAGGAACCAGGTACTGCTTTTTCAACAAGTGCTATTGTTGTTTGAGAAAATATCAATGGAGTTGTTTGGCTGAAATATATTTTGTATTCAAATTTAATTGAAATGATAATGATAATTACAGTCCTAAATTACATGATGAGTCCACTGCTCACAAACTGAAAGATCAAAAAGTCAGCAAAATATTCCCGAAACAAGTTTCATGAATTATCTATTTTGGCTTTAAAGTAATGAAGATTTTTAAAAAGACTTCAACATGAAGCTCGGAAAAAAATCTGCAAAATAACTGATTATGGAATATCCAAATAAATTTTCACAATTTAAAGATCAAAGCCTAACAATGTAAAATATTTCAGATGAATTTTTTTTGTTACACTTGAAATGTCATAACCAGTGAAAAACAAAAGTTAGCAACGATTCAGTACCCAATTAATGTATATTTAAATTTGCAGTTCATTTAACACCCGACTTTATTCGTTTCTTAAAATTACCTCATCCCTTACTTGTCTTCCAGCTTTGTCATTCATTTCCCGCAACTTTTACCTATCTATCCATCCATCCATCTATCTATCTATCTATCTATTTACCTATCTATCTATCTAATCTATCCATATATCTATCTATCTATCTATCTATCTATCTATCTATCTATCTATCTATCTATCTATATAATCTATCCAACCTATCTAATCTATATACATATACATAAAGATCTGGTCTTGAAAAGTCTTTCAAGGAAAATCTCCAGGTCGTCCTAAATCTTTTCTAGCAGAGGATTAGTGACTAATTAATCCTAATTGGTTAACAGAGACAGAGATCCAAAAATGAAATCGCTATATTGCAGTCACCATCAAATTCACATAATAACCTTCAAAATAATCAAATCTCCTTGACATAATATCCCATATGACATTTCAACTTGAAACTGCTGTGTACAACTAGTAAGCAGTGTCTTAATAGAAAAGGTATGACTTTAAACTTGTGAATAGGAAAGTTCGAACTAGTATTTAGCCTGTTATGGAGAGTCTTCCAATGTAATACATTTACAGCTGATCATTTCATAGTTCTAAAATTTTTCAGTCTTCTTCTATATAAAGATCACGTAGAAGTTTTCTCAAGAACCGTCCTCATAGTCCTTTTTCGGGACCAGTGGATGATTAATTTCTTATAAAAACAAGCGTGAGAAAAAGTGTAACTCGTCTCCAATGAAGTGTTGTACTTTGGAACAATCCCTATATGACAAAAACAGGTGTCGATGAATATATGTTAAAAAGATGAGTACGATACCACTTAAAAAACAACAAGCGTAATAAATTCGTGAATGATGCTCAGTAAAAGAAACAAAGTCAAGACGAGATCGAAACGTCGGAAACCATTTCAACGTTGAAGTTGAGTAAATTCGAAAACGATAATATTATTATCTGCATGGATCAATAATTTGATCGATCTTATCATCAAGGGTCATAGCCATACTTTCATCTTTGCCCTAGTTATATTACAAGTGGTGGTGGACCACATCATCAAAAATCACTTCATTAAGCCCAATGAGTTAGGCTCGTAACAAAAAATGAAAAGGTAATGCACCTCAGACACTAAAATGTAGTATTGAAATCCTGAAAAAATAACTTACACATTATCTGTGCCATTCATCAACGTATCGCCAGATTTTTCTTGTTCTGCCAAAACTAACCCGTTTTCCTATAAAATGAAAAAAAGAAAAAAAATTAATTTCAGACTATTTTGGAAGACTAATAAGTAAGGAATAAAACCATCACTCAGAACACTGTTAACTTATTCAGCAGAAATTGAGCAATGAATAATTCATATTCAAGTTATTCTCTTAAATTGATGCATTTTTCTTTTGGCTTCAAAAACCGAATGGATGAACAGAAGCTTAACCGATTGGTAAACCTAGGTGCATTCGGATATTACTCGGAAAAGAGCATAGCTCTCTTCTTCAGCAACAGTCGCATTGAATGCAACCGTAAGAATACAGCTGCTTATGCAGTTATATAACTACCTGTATAATTTGATCGCGCTGTGCTATTTCGGATCGTAATGCTGCATGTTGAGCATTTAAACCATCAATTGTACGTTTCAGCATTTTCACTTCCTAAATTATTTGACAACAGTTAATGTACAATTAAAAATGAATTCTACTTACTGAAATTGATTCATAGTGTTAACTGTTATCGGATGTTTGAAACTTTGGTAAGAGACCAAATACTTAATGGTTGTATATTCAAGCACACTGCATACGACTACCATAAGTAAACTTGCACATACCACAAAAAATGAGATCTAAGGAATTTTATCGTCCCATATCTCAAGCATCAATTCACCAGTTGAATACAAGATTACCTATTAACATTGATGAACAATGATTATTAACTGAAATGAAATGAACAATACTCAAAGAATTTAAATTAGGTGGGGCAAAAGTAACTAACAGTAGCTAGATCTCGTGATTCCCGATTGGCTTGTGATAAGAGTTGCTCTTTTTCCTCCATATCATCTTTTAATAGATCAATTTCATATAATAAGGCCGATTTCTCGTTATCTAGTTGAGAATACATGAACATAGCTCGTTGAAATTTGTTTTGTAATTCGCTTACTTTCTCCTTAAAATGTTCAACTACAGAGAAATCGTCAGTGTAAAATAGATAACTCTGTTTCCAATTCCAATAGAAACCAATCTAAAATCGCCATCAAAGCTAAGCAGCATGCAGCAAACGAGGTTATTGGCAATTTAATTTCAGTGAATTTTAAGCAAAAGTTGCTACCTAAAGAAAGGTTGGAAAATGAAAACAAAAACCTTCAGGGCTGCTCGCTCCAATGCATTGCTATCTCTGGACGGTGTACCGCCTCGAGATGTTGATGTCGTCGGAATGCTGTCTTTCTAAATCATGCCAAACACATGCATACATTAGTAATAAATAAAATAGTAAAAAAAATAATGAAAAAAAGTATATAAAGATAAAAGGACTCAAGGAGTGAATTTTACTAAAAGAGTTCTCAGAACAGTAACTCAATACAATGCCCCTGAACTGCGACAAGGGCAAAAACCTGACATAACCATGCATGAGTTATTCTTATCACGATGGTTGTAAATTACCCCTTCTAATCCATCTCCACATTAAAGTTAAAACAATGATCTACAAACAGCAGAAAAGGTTAAATGTAATATTTAAATCAATCGCGCCGTGAGGTAATATCAACTCTTTTGAATTTCCAGCTATTAGATAAATAAACTGAAGAAGCATTGATAACACGCAAATAATATTCAAATAATACTCACCAATCAATAATACATATAACAATAATAAATAAGATCAGAGTACGAATAAAGTGCATTAATATTTTTTCAAATAGCAAGTAAAATTTAAATAAAATGAAGACTTAGTTAGAAAAAAAAAACGTGATGTAATTAAAAAAACGAACAGCTATTAAAAGCTTGACAAAATATGAAAACATCAGTAGTCCTACAGCAATATAATAAGCAAACTGGATAAATCCTACGATTTAAAACCATTTTTTTCAGTTTCTATGAAATCAATAAATAAAAGCAGGAGTAATTTTAAAAAGAGTTTGGCATGCAGTTACAGTTATCAGTTTTGTCCCAACACTTTATAATTTGCAAGTTTCATGACAGGTACTAAAACGACATGTAATCAATACAATTTCACATTTAATAAGATAAGAATCAAACTTAAAATCAAGAGCGTTAATACTGAAAGAACATTTGGTGAAGAACAGGATGGAGTATTAAATTGGACTCCTCAATTTCATAGGATATCTCTCAACGCAAAGTAGGATGAATCGCAAAGTACTGAAGTGGAAGTCAGGTGAGAAAGCATAAATACAAATACCTAAAGAGAATTTTTGAAATATAGAAAAAAGACTTACAACGCCCTCTTCATCTCCTTTGCAACCATCTGTTTCAGCCTGTAAAATGAATATTGAAAACAAAAACAGGGAATTAGACCGATGAAATTTTTAGTTGCCATTGTTGTCTCCTTTCATCTCAACAGTTGTTCGAGAGCTTGACTTTATTTCATTTGCTATATTTAAATAAATCTTGCAAGTTTTGAAGCTTGTAAGTTCTAAGAAGTTACGACTAAACAAAGACTAAACGGATTAACGAAATATTTGAGACAGTGAGGTCTCGTAGAACATTTTTTTTTTTTGAGTAGTACAAGATTACCAACGGAAATATAACGAAAATATGAAGCAGGCAATTTGATAAATTAAAAATCTTGCTCCTATATGAATAATGCCTCCTGGATATTAAGTGCAGAAGGAAATGAAAAGTATGATGACCAAATTAAGTGGGAACTGTGGCAAATTTACCAAAGATTTCCTGTGACAATACCGCTGAAGTATTTTGCATTTCGCATTTTTTCTTATGTTTTTGATACTGTCAATAATTACAATTAATTTCCACTGCAAAATTAATAATTCCAACAGGTAACATATGCCACATCAAATTTATATGTTTCGGAAAATCGGGGGAAAACGATCAATGTGGTGACAGCATGAACTGCTGCAGTAATAAAAACAACACTAGCTTTACTGTTCCCTTTCCTCTTATTTCTTCGCCCAAAGGAAATACTTAGAAACCAGTTTCGGTGAAAATTAGTGTTGTCCGTTGTGGAAGGGAAAATGTTGACAGAAACGATAAAAAGTTGCTGCCACTTTTTTTTTTACACAAGATGCGTTCCAATTCAAAAGCCTGATGACGAGAAATTAACATTCCTCTCTTTTCCCCTCGTTTCATTTTTGAGGTGAGATAGGACAACAAGAGAACCACAAGAAGGCAGGTAAGCAGCTTTGACTAAAAGATCTCTGGTAGAATATAACTCCTTTACCCGGTTTTGACTATTTTTCATAATTTTTGTTTCCAAATTCATTTGCAATTAGTTTACTATTTTACTGCTTTCTACTAGGTCAATCAACGACAATATGTCGACAACACACACGCTCTTTGATTTTCTTTGCATTGCTTGCCTTAATGAATGCACCTATCCAAGACAGTTATTTATGCTCATTTACCAGATACTTTGAGGAAATATAATGCTACCTCTCGGTACTGCTTTTCGAGCTGCTCTAAACGTATCTGTCGCGCTTCTTCACGAGCCTGCCTTTTACGAGTCAACCGTTCTTCCGCCTGTAAAAAACCAGAATTTCTACTAAATTGACCTCCTCCTAGATTTTAACAATCCTAATACTCACGATTCTCTCCCACTTTAGATAAAAAGCATATCTGTGGAGGAGCAGCAAGATTATCTCAGTTGAAAACTTGCCCAAATGAAGCAAAAGCCAAAAATGAGAGACACTGCCTTACCAATTTTAAACACTGGATTTTACAACCTAAATCTCAGTAAAATTTGGTTCGTGAACCTAAAATTTGCATAATAAATATAGATTCCATTGATGATTTAAATCTTTCATTTTAAAAAGTTCTTTCCTTCAGACTATCAATTTCGATATGAAGGCACGACAATTATGGTCAAGTATACAGTTCAAGAGACGCTTACATCCCGAGAAATTCGGTCAAGTACTTGTTCTTCGGCCGTTTGTCGACTCACCGCACGCCTTCTACCTCCACCATAGTTAACATTCATCCTGTAGAAAAACAACACTTTGAGATGTGAATTCTGCGCAAAGTAAACCTTTTAATTTGTACATGCGCTCATTCTCGTAATTATCAATATGTTAAATACAATGGCATAGTTTAGTGTCGTCAGATCTCGAATCCCAATAAACTGATAATCCACTTAGCATTATCAGTACTAGGCACATTTCGGCATAACTATACAGTAGCAAAGAAAAATGATAAAAGCATTGAAACTGCATAACTGACAATGCAAAATGCAGAATTTATTAACTAGTAAATTAGGAATAACTTAAGCAACTATAACTACACTTAATTGTTAGTGATTAATTATCATGTAGCAGGCGGTAAAAACAGACCCGGGCTGAGCCGTCGAGTAGTATCTTTCTTTTCAGGAATAAGCTTCCTTGACCTTATTGTAATTGAGGCCGAAAGTTAGTGACCTTAAAGAAGATTCATAGCATCATAGGTATAAAATATGATAAGTGAAATAACACCACATATACATTGGCGATATGATTTTTACAACGTGGTCCAACCGTAGATGTGACAAAACGAGACTCGGCCGTCAAATTATGGTGACTCAGTGAATGGGATGGGTGAGGTTTATATGAAAGGTAGTACCAGCTTTTGAAGGACTCTTTGCGTTACCTTTATTGGTTGAAATTTTTTAAATAAAAATAGAAGAAGAAAAGATGAAGAGAAGTTGTTTGGTAGGAATTGAAATTCAACCAAATGGCTTATTGGATGCATTAAATTTAATTAAAAATTCCCTTCGTAGATTTGATGATTTGTCAAGTTTGGTTTTTTTTCTTTTTTTTTAACAAATTGCTCAAAGATAACTGTTTTCAGAAGAGTAAAATAGCAATAAAATATAATTTTAGAAATGCCTTGAAGGAATAAATCTAAGTTGGAGATTTGTAAAAACTATAACAATAGGTTTTGTATTATCATGGCTAGGCTTTGCAAGCGAAAATTTGAGAATGAGCTCGATCTACGCTTGTTGCAAACGATACAAAAATCCACTACAATGGTCGAAGGATACATCCAAATGCTTGAATGTATCCTTGGAGACAGTGCAATGAATTTTTAGGTGAAGGACAACGTGCGCGGAATTGGTCTCATCCTTTGCTCCTAAAGTTTGTCCATCAGGACTTAGCAAGCTAGGACAGTTACAGTGAAGTCCTCAGGATGTCGGTTTTGTTTGAATGTCCATCTCTCATAGATAGATGGCCATACAAGGATAAGAGATCTTTGTCTGCCCGGATTTGGAGTTGCCTTTTTCCCAGGATGATTGCCGGAAAACTAGCGAAGCCATCCTGCCCATAGATAAACTTTGTCTGGCCCTTCCGTTGACACCTATCTGGCATGGGAGCCCTACTGAAGCATAAGCTATCGCAAGCATAGCTTGCAACCTCAGAAGGGCACGCAAGTTTCTTTCCCGCGGCGAGAGGATGTTCATGGCGACGAACAGTTGCTGTATAGCGTTGACATGGGATATATACTTCGGTGTTGTCCGCCACTGATTTCTTGTATTCTTCATGTTGTGAATGAAATAAGGAATATTTACAGACAAGCGAGATTAGCTTACTTTTTCACATGTTAAGCTTATATAATGAACTATACTGATGTTACCTTATAATTCATCTCGAAGTTAGAACGATAAAAAGGACGTCAGTGAAGACACTATACACCGGTTTATGCTATCAGTGTATAAGTATAAGCATAGTTCCTGGGAAATTTTTCGCTTATCAGTAGAATTTATAGCTTAGTGATAAGGGAGATAAGTCCAGCGGTCGTTACTTAGTTTATCAATTAAAAAAAAAAAAGAAATGCAGTAATCGATTAATGTGTGAATTGCTTTATAGGAAGATTGTTTTCCCGTTTACTTTTATTTCCTCTCTTCATCTAAATTCATTCAGGTTATTATTGATGCATATGTAAAAATTTACTCTGTATGGCTTTAATTAAATTTATCCTACATATGTATAGCTTCAGTTATTTAGCATGAAACATTATAAAATGATATTAATGTAATCATGTTTGGAATGAGTAATTACAACAAACGCGTTAAAATACTTGGAAAGATGAATGGTTTTGCTCCTACTTGTTTTCCTATTTATACCGATGCTTCTCAAGTTTTCAGATTATTCAAGATAGTTCTTGGGAAAAATCCATGAAGTAGATTACTACTTTTTTAAATATTTTCATTGCTAATATTCTGAAAAAAGCATATGAAACAGGATGATTTTAATAACAATTGTAATGTTTAAATGAAAGATATGAATCAGGAATGAATGTTCACATCTGATGAGCTGAGGTGATAAGTAACAATTGAATTACTACTCACTTTCCTCTTTGTTAGAGCATCTCATTCACCATTCTTTTTTTTTTCACTTGTGTTTTCTTTGACGTCGTTCTGAAAACTTGAAACGTTTAGCAATTTGCTTGCTTAGCTGATACTCATTGCATTGTTTTCTTGATTTGGTATTCTATCCCTCTTTCTCCCTCTTCTTCTGTATCGTCCTATAAAAATATTTATAATGAGTATCTAACTTGATAATATTATATTTTTCTTTTGACTTGACTACTTAAACATTTCATGTGTTAAGAACAATGCTTAAATTACAGACTGAAGCTGATGCAAATATGTAAACATGCATGGCACTGTGGTATTTTGTCCTCCTTGTTTTTACCCAATATCAAGAAACCGAGCAAAAACCATTACACTTACTTCATTTTTTTCAGACAAGTCAGCAAATGCTCATTTTGTCATGCCGATCGTGAATCGGCTTAAAAAATTCATTCTTGGCTCCAGTTTTAACAGTGATGGCCAAAAGTTAGGTGTTGGCATTGGAACTAAAACCATTCCTGATATTGTCCGGATTGAAACGGACGTTTGTGAATACTGGATATTGGATGAAGTCATCGGTGATGGTGCATTCGGGAGCGTTTACAAGGCGCGATCGAAGTTGGAGTCAGGAAGAGTGGCCGCTGCAAAGGTTAATTTATCATGTGTTCGCATTTTTCCTTATTGTATCCCTCCATATATTTTATTTGGAATCGATCAAGTCCAACTGTTACAGGCAATGGAATTGGAGGACGATGAAAGCCAGGATGTGATGGTTGAAGTATCAATTCTTACTCAGTGTAAACATCCAAATATTGTTGAGCTTTATGATGCGTTCACTATGGGTAGTCGCATTACGGTAACTAATTATTACTAATTTGCATTCGCAATATAGCAATATTTTATGAGCTCTATTACATTTATTTGCCTTATTAGAGGAGTAGATAATGAAAGTGAAACTCGACATTTATTTAAACCACAAGATGATAAATGTGGGTGGTGACTCTTTGCTCTACGAGATCATAAAATGACCTTTCACAATTTTTGTGCTGTAATAAGTTATTTATAGCTTATCATGTACGAATGGCCAAGTGTCGATTGTTTGAGATAAGGATTAGGTTAACACAATTCATTACAGTGCGTTTATTGGTAGTGTGCAGCTCCATCGGACAAAGATGAGATGCCTACCGCTTTATAGATCGTTTTACATGCTACTCGTTGTTTTAACCCGATTGTAGAAGTCCCGAGGCATTAACTTTTCAACAAAGTTTTACAAATTTTTGCAAGTTCTTTTTTTTCCAATGCAGCTTTTGTTGGAATATTGCGGTGGTGGTGCAGTGGACAGTATAATGATGGAGCTGTCACGACATCTTAGTGAGCAACAAATTCAGTACATCATGAAAGAGATCCTAAAGGCGCTGGATTTTCTGCACGGCAAAAATGTAATCCATCGCGATCTAAAGGCTGGCAACGTACTGTTAACAAGTGATGCAAGAGTAAAACTGGGTAATTTGTATCCTCGTGTTTTTTTCACATCCTATCGAAATTGAAAATACTCAGTGTTAGTAGCTCACATCACCATGCTTATGGTAAGTAACACATGTCCATATGATCTATTAATCACAATTTGTGGTTATCCGAAAAGACCATGCTTTTTTTGCGAAAGTAAAAGTTAATACTGAAGTCTATGAATTTCATACTTGTAGGATAATTTCAACTGCCTCTGATGTAGTATAGAGGAAGCAGAAAAGAACGTAGTATATTGCGTTAGCATAACTTAATTGCAGCCGATTTCGGTGTGTCAGCACTATGCAAAGATGGTCGGGAAGTACGGTCGACATTCATTGGAACACCGTATTGGTAAGCTGCATTATTGCTATTTATATTCCCATCCAACTTTTATTTCACATGCAGCATTGTTAGTGTATTACTTATACTTCTTGAATTGTATATTTGAGAAATCAGGAGTGTACTGAGGAATTATGAACGGGCAATCAAAGACAGCACTATTGAAAACCAACTTTAAGATTTTTGTGACTTTTGAATGGCAAATAAAGTCGAGAAATGAAACAACATTAAGCCTAAATTAGTAGTTCATTCTAATTGTGCTAATTTTCCTTTTGAGGGAAAACACTTCTTTGAAATTCGTTTAAAGAAGCATACGTGGGGTCAATTCTTCTACTAAAAGTTAAACCTGGAGATTTACAATTTAAAAAAAGACATGGTCAGATTAGTAGATTTCAATTGATCAGATTAGTAGATTTTAAGCCCAAATTAATTCTTTTCTAATCTTTTTATGTTTGACATATAGCTCTGCCATGTCTAGAAATAATTTTGCTTTCTTATGTTTAGTATTTTCGGTAATTAGTGCTACAATATATTCTGTCATCGCCAGGGCGCAAATAGGCACTGCTGATTTTCCGAAAAAATATTTCGAATGAAAATGATTGGATTTTATCAGTTATAAAATTTGTTCTTGACATATATAGGATGGCTCCGGAAGTGATGATATGTGAAACATTCCCGGAAAAGCATTACAATAAATTGGCTGATATTTGGAGTTTCGGGATAACTCTCATTGAAATGGCAGAAGAAAAACCACCTTATGCGGAAATGAACCCTGCAAAAGTAATTTTTAAGGTGAGTGTAATTGTTTACTCTCCAGAACTGCGAAGCTTGAAATTACTGATGGACGAAAAATAAAGAGAAGATGGAAGATAGGAAAAGGGAAAAAAAAGTTGGTGAATAAAATTAATGGGAGTTGTTTGTAGGATTTCATTGATTATCATTAGGCATCATCGTTTCTTAGTTTTCATTTTTTTTAGGTTATAAAGGCAGATCCTCCTACGTTGGAACGTCCCAATCTCTGGTCTTCTAATTTTCGATCCGTAGTTACCAAATGTTTAACAAAGGATCCGGGAGATAGACCAAGTGCTGCCGATGTATTAATGGTTCGTGTAATTTTTTCTGCCTGTTTGGAAATATCTCAAAAACTTTTTGACCTAGATAAAGTTGTCTGGAGAAAATTCTGGAAATTCTCTCGGTCGCAAGTGCAATGAAGATGAAAATCTCGAAGCGAATTTTTGGCTTATTTGTTATCATAAGAATTTATACTTCCTTGTTGGGATTTTTGTGTATTACTCCACTGGTATTTTTATTCGATGTTTTCTCTTGTAACGTGTGTCACAAAAATAAAATGAGGTTCACTATGATAAACTGTATAAATTTTCAGCGATCTTGTGATAGTAAGTGTCGAAAAGACGAATAAATTTTCGGAAATCACATTTAAGGTTTTGACAAATGGACGATTTTGTAATTGGTGTATAACTTTGTCTTTTTATCATTCTGTCGGATTTTGTTCCCATATCAAACTAAACTTCATTTCAGCATCCATTTTTTGCGCAGTCGGGATCAGTTCAGTGTATACGCTCGTTGATTAGCGAAGTGAATGCCGAACAAATAACAACCGAAGTAGTGGTTGGCAGTGACGATGAAGCATTGTATGATGATGAAGATGATGATGATACAGCTACAGTGAGTAGTGTGGCAACAACTAGTGAAGTAAGAATTAAACAGTTTCTGTGATTGCTTCGTTTTCAGAAACTGTAAAGACTTACCACAGATTGCGCGCGTGGTATCCAAACCTGTCTTTACTTGCCAGACATTGAGGATTATTAGTAATGCATGCTTTTGCATATTTTTCCCGAGTATCATTTTCCTTCTGCAGACTCAGCCATACGATGCGAGCAGTGTGAGCAGTAAACAACAACGTCACTTAGTTCTTTCTGTCACCGAACAGAAGATATCACCTGAAGTGGCAACATTCACCTCAAAATCAACGATAATGAATGCTGGATCAACAACTGTTGTCGAATTGGCACCAGCAGCGGAAATAAGTCCGGTATGCATCGAAACTAATGATGTAGCAAATGCTAGCTTACTATCGTCTTCAGTATTAGGAAAGAAACAGAGTGCACCAATTTTACCGGCAAAGGATGGAAGTAATTTGGAAGAAGAGAAAAACACGGTATGTTATTTTACGTTATGTTTGTTCATTTTTACCATTACTAATTTATTTATGTTTCAGTTTGAATGTAATCTTTCTGTTCTTTGAAAAAACTAATTCAGCTTTTATTGTTTTAGGTAGCAATAGTAGAAATAAATGCTTACGGCCAAGATAAACCAGGGTTTCTCGAAAGGTCAAATAGTGCGGAAAGTTACAAAAGTTTGGGACATGGACATCATCACGCAGCTGTTATAGCCCTCAGTGATCTCGATAAAGCGCTGAATCTGGAAGAGGAGCTGTTTTGTGAAAATAAAGGAAACGGTAGGTTAGAAATAGTATATTTATTGGAATACATATTGTTCTTGTAGTTGTTTTGTAGGCACTGGATTAATTGAAATTAATTGAAATTACATCTAATGATTTATTCATTTTTCAATTATCATTTTTTTAGAGTTCTTGACATACATGTATATATATATATATATATATATATATATATATATATATATATATATATATATATATATATATATATA